CAATGTCGGTAGCACCACGTTTTGTAAATAGAAGAAGATGGTAAGCTTTAAGCTCAGTAGAGAAATATAAAAGTAATTTTTTGTCTTGTTGTGGATATTTAATGTATGAATAATGGTGAAAAATGCTGATTCCCTGGTAAAAAAGTTAAAGATATAATATTATATTTCATAGTGTTTTGAACAGCCATGTAAATCAATTGCAACAAATTAAAGAAACTGATGAAAAGGAAAGGAGTTCAAATCCAATGGGATTGTCTTAGACACCAATTTTGCCGCGGCCAATTCCATTGTTTTGGTAAAAATATGGCCCTTATAATGTTTAGTAAGAATGATCTACTGCAGTCCTCTTTCCTCTACTAACCACAAAAAAGCACTTTCACAATATTATTTGACTCAATATTAATTTTTGATGTACTTCATCTTTTGTCTTCCTCTTTGATCTAAGCCATTTTAGTTATGCCTAGTTTAGTGAATAACTTTTTATCCTAAATTAAGGGGCACTATATGTCAGGTATCTTGATGTGCGCCTCTCCTCTCTGCTCTAATATTTCAATATACATATTGTATATTGTATATATGTATATATTGAATATATACATAGAATTGCTTAGCTATTATGGTGACCTTGTTGATTACATAACTTAACTTACTACTTCATGGAGTAGAGATATATTCAATCATGTTGAAAGGGGCAGCTGAGTCATATTATTTAACTTTCTTTCCAGCTAAGTTCACTGATGGTACAATTAATGCATGACTCAATCTTTTGCATGTGTTAAAATTCTACTTGGAAAATCATTAATAATGATAATAATAATAATAATAATTACATTCATTAATAATAGCTAATGATACCTTTAAATCTAAGCCTTCATCATCCACCACAAACTTCTTTACCAGAGGGAGAGTAACTGTTTTAATGATGTCAACCTAAAATAACATCATTCAGCAATCATCAAATTCTAGGAAAGGCACATTTCTCAGAAGTAATCTAATTATGCACCTCTATACAAGCTCATTTTCCATCTTATTTCTGTCTACACTGTTAGATATGAAATGAGAGTTTTTACAAAACAGAGAGAAACTGGAAAATATCAACACAAAATTTGAATTAACATTTGATCTTTTTTGTATTTAACTCTTTACAACCTCACATCAGTATCCATATTTGACGTACTGTTTGATTCTTTATATATTTGCTTTGGTGATGATAAGGAACATTTGTCCAACAGTCAAAGCTTCTTGTGTTGGTGATCATTTCTGTTATTCTCATGATCTTCTTGAATTATACAGCAGTGTACTTTAAGGAGAAGTTAGAAGCTCATCACTCTAAGGGCTTAAAGGGTCAATTCTCCACAATAAAAAAATATGATATTATTTCTGGCTTACTGTTGGATCATGTCTGTCATTTGTTATTCCTTTCAGAGTAAGTCTGATAGGTTTCTTGCAAAATGGTGCCAGCAGCACCACTGCTTCTAGGTAATAACCAATGGATCTTTGAGGATTACAGTCGTGGTCAATGGTTCCTCCAGTTAACAGGCCAGGTTTATAAAACAGCATTGTACCTTTGGAAAAGGAAACAAAGTAACCAAACATAAGGATAATATAGCATTCTTTGCAGGCTTAAACATCCCGTATCCTGTTTCTTGCTGTAGTTTCTTTCCTAAAACTCAAGTTTACATCCTGTAATATCTATTTCAAATATCCCTTAAATTTTTTCCTTAAGTATCCCGTATCCCTACAATCTTTTAGCCAAATATTCCGTATCCCGATAACCCGAATAAATAGGACCTCTATAATAGACTTTACCTGGCCGGGCAGTGCTATCATTCATTAAAATCTTATAAACAAATAACAAAAATTATCTGATAAATGATCTGAAGACTTACCTGTTTCATTAATTTCTATTCGTGATCCGTTTGTTACCTTGTCCAGGAGCCGTATAAAACTTGCTTCAAAATCTTTAAAGAGTTACATAGAAAGCAAAACTTCTCAAATTACACGGCAAAACACGAAGCATATTTTATATAAGTTTTTTGCAGCTGAAGTCAGCAGCTGAAAAGGCTGTGATTTCTTAATCAGTTCGATAATGGACGCACCTTTCAGCCCAGGATCGTCTTCAACAGCTCTTATGTTTTTTATTTTCACCGATTTACCGCTAAGCGTCGCCAAAACAAGTCTTTGTCGGAAAAAATTACAACCTTCGTATGTCAAATCAGCCGCCATGTTGAAAAACGCACGTGGGTGACCTTTCCACTCGTCATATATCACGTACTCTTTCACTCTGGATTTTGCTGCTGGACCAGTAACTTACGTTTTCGTTCAAAATGGCGGTGTCACAGTGATATGTGTACCCCCGTGATATGTGTACCCCCGCACACATATCACTAGTGATATGTGTACCCCCTCCAAGATGGCGGCCAGTGATATGTGTATCCCCCACCCCCTCCCCACCAAAAAATAAATAATTACGGCTAACTTGTGTTAATGGACGCAAATCGTTCACTGAACCATCTTCCACAATCAGAACTGTAAAGACACGACTCGCGAGTCCGACAGTTCTTATGGGCCAGTAGCAAACATCAAACAATCTATTGGAAATATAAAGGAATCGAAATTGTCATTTAAACAAAAATATATCTTAGGGATTCACATATCACTGGTGACTACAATCGTATCGGCTTTGTCGCCTGTCTAGCACTGAAATTACTTGCTACTAGCTCCTTTACTGGCTAGTACGTAAGTGCATGAAATATTTCACCAACTGACAGCAATTTTTATTGATTCCCAATCATATGTGTCATTGACAAATTTAAAAAGTACACAGACGACATCGTACTAGCCAGGGGATACGTATATCACTGAGATCTCTCGTTCAGTGATATGTGTATCCTCAACATATCTCGGGGTTACGCATATCGCGGAAATCGTAGTAAGTGATATGTGTATCCCTTGGTAAAGCAAGCGCTGTTGTCTTTCTAGCAAATTACTAGCTAACTTATATATGGCTAGTAAGTGTATCATTGATTCCAAATTGACAGACGACAGCGAGTCAGGGGATACACATATCACTGCGATCGCCGTTCAGTGATATGTGTATCCCCAATACATCTTGGGGATACAATGTGGATACGCATATCGCGGCAATCGCAGTCAATATGTGTATCCCTTGGTAAAGCAAGCGCTTTTGTCTGTCCAGCAAATTACTAGCTAAGCTTATATATGGCTAGTAAGTGTATTATTGATTCCAAATTGACAGACGACAGCGAGTTAGTCAGGGGATACACATATCACTGCGATCGCCGTTCAGTGATATGTGTATCCCCAATACATCTTGGGGATACAATGTGGATACGCATATCGCGGCAATCGCTGTCAATATGTGTATCCCTTGGTAAAGCAAGCGCTTTTGTCTGTCCAGCAAATTACTACCTAAGCTTATATATGGCTAGTAAGTGTATTATTGATTCCAAATTGACAGACGACAGCGAGTTACTCGGGGGATAGACATATCACTGCGATCGCCGTTCAGTGATATGTGTATCCCCATTATATCTTGTGGATACACTTTGGATACACATATCACGGCAATCGTAGTTAGTATTTGTATCCCCTTACTAAAGCAAGCGTTTTTATCTGTCCAGCAAAATACTGGCTAAGTATGGCTTGTAAGTGTATTATTGAGTCAAAATTAACAGAAGTGTGATCTAAAATCACTGCGATCGCTTTTCTGTTATTCAGTTGCATTGTGATCTTCTTCCGTTTATATTTTGGATCGGAAACTTTAAAATATAAAACCACAAAATTTGTTCCTCGTAGCCACCATGTTTTCTTTGAAGCTCTAAAAGGCCCGGGTGCAAAGCTTCAGTGTTTTGTGTATCCCTACCAGGGGTACACATATCACTAGTGATATGTGTGCGGGGGTACACATATCACGGGGGTACACATATCACTGTGACAGCGGACGATGATTTGGAAGGGTGAGTGACAATGACATTCCAAATCAGCGAATCTTGAGATCTTTTCCGCAGTGATTCACTTGTAGACAACTACATAACGAATTCACGTTTTTTCGCATTTTATATGTCGATCAAAAGTCATTTCTTGTCGCAGTGGTTGATAATAGTGGAAACGAAGCAATCGTTGTCCAATTTACTTTTCAACAGCAAAAGTCGCGATGGAGAACTTTCTCGATTTTCTTCTAGGTATGACGATGACCTCGATGAGGTCGAAGAAGAAGACCACTTTGAAGATGTAGATGACTTAGAGGTAAGCTTTCTAGCCACTATTTTCTGAATAGGTTAATTTAGTGGATCTATATAATTTGACAACGCACGTGTAATTTCGGTTACACGTGAGTCAAACAACACTTACTGATTATCAGAATCAAATAAATGGAAATTTTTAGTTTGATATAGTAACGATACTCTCAGAGAGGATAGTAATGATCTTTTTCCCGACAATGTAGAATGAAGTCCCAGTTTGAAGGCACTTACATTTATTTCAAACTCAGAAAACCATCGTGTCCGGAACAATAATTTGTCATGACCAATCATATGTGAGATCAGGATGTGTAGGCAAAATTAAATACTAGTGTACAAGCTAATCAGCGCTTACTGCGTGAGGCTGAGATTTCTCACACCTGACTGACGGCTGGCTGCCATGTTTTCTTGCATAGATCAAATTTTATAAAGTAATATTCACTCTGAAGTTCATGGTTTTCTGAGTTTCACAGTAATCAAAAGCGGTAAAATACTTCTTTATAGCTATTTTCCTTTCCTGGTGGAGGTTGTATCTAATATCCTACTGTGTTTTTTTTTTTCAGCCAACAGAAGACACAGATAATATTGACATTTTGCCCACAACAGGTATGGTTTGCAATAACTTTTCAACAGTGTTCTATAAAATCTCAGTTAAATAAGGTAATCCACTAGAACAAAGCCAAAAACTCGAGAGGTTGTGGCCACTTAGCCTTAAAGAGTTAACCATGTTAATTATAAGACACAGGATGAGGAAATGTTTCTTGCATTTTATTTTATTCAAGTAGGGAAGTTACATGATCCTTCAAGGTTGCTACTACAACCTTCATAAGTGAATGTCTCACAATGTCAGGCTGAAGAACATTTTATAACAGTTACTGGACATTTTAATTGCTTAAATGTAATATTAACTCGTACTTTTTTATGTCAATTTGCAGAAGAAAGCCAAGAACCAACAAAAAGAATCACAACACCATATATGACAAAATATGAGAGAGCAAGAGTATTAGGAACTAGAGCTCTACAGATAAGGTACTTGACCCTTTAACTCTCAGAAGTGATTAATATGTAAATTCTCCCTATAATATCCATACATTATTCAGCAAACAGGTCATGAGAATACTCAAACTCATCAGGTACAAGATATTATATTACCTTGATTGAACACCAAATTCTTGTAACCAATTTACAAGGAAATGTGTTGCAGCTAGAGGGGAGAATTAACAATCAGATCTTGGGAGTTAAAGGGTTAGTTTACTCAACAAATAAAGATTGTTAAAGACTTAATGGCAGTGATAGAGATCTTGAGTTATACCTTGGCTACAGACTATTTCAGTCCATTCTGGCAAGACCACAATTTTAGGAACTCACTTTTATCTGTTGTGTTTTTATAACCAGTATGGGTGCCCCTGTTATGGTGGAACTTGAAGGTCAGACAGATCCTCTACAGATAGCCATGAAGGAACTCAAGTAAGAATTTTAATGAATTTTTTTTTAACCCTTTAACTCTCAGAAGTGATTAAACGTAAAACTTCTCCCTTCAATATCTATACATTCTTCAGCAAACAGGTAATGAGAATATTCAAACTTATCAGGTAGAAGCTGCTTTCTTGATCTAGCACCAAGTTCTCATAACTAATTTACAAGGAAATGTGTAGCAGCTAGAGGAGAGAATTAACAATCAGATCTTGGGAGTTAAAAGGTTAAACTTACAGCATAAGTAGTTTAACAGCCAGTACCAAGTTGTCTTGGCAATGTAATCCAAAGAGAGTTTTTAATTATCTGTACTTAGATCTCTGTTTTGTGATAGTTGATGTGTGCTAAGCCAGAATAAACTACCACATGGAAATCAAGGGTTAATTATCTATAGTGGGCAGCATAGCCAATGGGATTGCAGCATCTGTGATATAATTCATGCAGATTTATAATAATATTTATTAGACTATATGACAAATGAACCTGGAAAAATAATTGCAGAAGTACATCAATCACAGGAGTTGCAAGCCTCTTCATTCATTTTAGATATTATTTCAGAGCAAGAAAATCCCCATTACTTTTTGGCAATATCTTCCAGACAGAAGCCTAGAAGTCTGGGTAATAGATGAACTCATCATCACAGAATGAAACTGCATTGGTGGTAGTTTTAGTTGTCAGCAGTTGTTTGATGTGCTTCTTAGTTCATTTTATGTCCATGAACAAAAATACTTCATTTTCCTTTTTTTTAACCCCATCCACGAGAGTTGTGTACATCTGTTGTGGCATGTTACTCAATAATTATACAATGCCTGTACTGAACCCTTAAAGTTTTGAATGTAAAAAAATGCTTGGCATCCAACACTTTTTTTTTCTTTTAACCTTTTAACTCCCAAGATCTGATTGTTAATTCTCCCTTCTGGCTGCTACATGTTTCCTTGTAAATTAGTTCTAAGAATTTGGAGTAAGATGGAGATAACAACTTCTACCTGATAAGTTTGAATATTCTCATTACCTGCTTGCTGGATAATTTATGGATATTTTAGGGAGAAGGTACATGTTAATCACTTCTGGGAGTTGAAGGGTCAACAAAATATTTTCCTTAAACTACATTTAATAAAAGGAAGGTTACAATAAACCATTAATCATACATTGATGACCAAATAAAGAACTATTGTTGTTATTGTATTGTGCAACATTTGTCATAATTCCAAATATAGGAAGTTAGAATTGGATACTTTTTTGTTTCAATAAACCATATTTAAGAAAGTTAATTTTCTATCAAAAAAAAAAAAAAATGATGAACAGTCTCTTAGTCAAGGGCAGGTAACCCCTCTTCCCTTTCTCCTTTCTCCTCCCTCCCCCCCCCCCCCCCCCCCCCCAACAGCAAATTATTGAATTTTCCTTTTCCACTTATACTCTGTGACCTGGCCCTATTAATTTTTGCTGCAATTTTTATTTTTATTTTAAATAGATTCTTCAGGAAGCTCTGCCTGTAACCTGTGTGTGCCCAAAGTGGACCTCAATTTCTCCCTTAAAGAGGACATCATTCCATCAGGTTTTTACCAAGCGGAAGTGAAAGGAAAGAAGTGGTGCCACTTTATTTTTGCTACAAAACAACAGCTGAGTCAGTTAGCTGCAACAAAAACATGGTACATGGACAGAAATGACAAGATAGTCAAGGAACCCTTTCACCAACATGTCTGCCGAGTCTGCAAAACAAGTGCCATTAGTGTTTGTCCTAATGTCCTCAAAGAAAAAGAGAGATTACAAGAAGGTTAGTATACATATAACTCCCTCTAAATGCTCAGTCCCATATTTTTTCAGTGTAAATAATGGTCAGAGTACTCTTCAATTGAAATTTTTAATATCAAGACCAAAGTTACCTTGACAGCCAAACAGAACAAAGGAAAATATGCTCATTTAATACCCAATTTGAGTGAATTATTGATTCTTTATCTATCAGATTTTGAGAGAGATCATCCATCTTCTACCATGTGAATGGCTTCATGTGCAATTTGTTACAGCAGATTTTGATGAGGCATTATTGTGGGGAGCACTTTGGTCTGTTGTCCTACATGCAAAGCTACAGAGACGTCCTCTTCACTGGACCCAGTTAATGTGAAAAAAGGTAAACTATGAATGTAAAGAACTAAACACCTGTTTATTTGTGTCTTTTGTTTTTGCCCTTTTGGATTTTTGTATGTTAGTTCGTCTTGCGTGCGGAATGTATTTTAGTGTGTTATTCGAGTAATTATTTATTGTAGTATATTTGTTAGTATCTAAAGGATGTGTAAGCCTTTTCGGGTCAGTTTTTTCGCTTGCCATTTCCAAGCAGTCATTTTTTGCCCTATAGCAGCCAGATTTCATGTTACAGTTTGTCGCCACTCCGTGCAGTTTTTTCCAAGCTCCTGGAGTGTTTGGAGTGTTTAGTCCATTGTTGGAAGTTATAATGAATTTTTCAAGTCAAGTTGAATGGACTTGTATGATGGTCTGAGCTCCTTGCACCAGCAGAATTACAGCATAAGGCCATCAAGCTCTTTGCCCGACCTTCTCTTTTCTTATCAGCCACCCTGACATGCTCCTACTCTTTCTTTCTTACATGTACCCTTCCCAATTGTCTGGGACAAGTTTGTCATGTAAAGGACTGTTTTTTTGAGAAAGCGATTGATGGTTTTCCCCTCTGGTTGTGAAAACATGAATTGCTGACTGTCTTTTTCATGACAACTCTCACCTGGACAATTAGACTATATGAGCAATATGCAATTTGCTAACAACGGCATCCAAATGAACACTACGATTGGCCAACCTCAGGGGCAAGTTCATGCATGGTTTATCTTTGTAATAGGGCAAGATGCTTAGTCCAAACAAACTTCCCATTTGTTTATTTTTCAAGTGGTATGTTTACAAACCTTTTTTAGTTAGAGATAGTAGTCATGCTCTCCATCAATGAAAAGACTAAAATTTTTGGCTCATATTTTTGTCAGATGCAAGAACTTGGTCTGCAAGCACTGTGCATTGAGGATAATGGTATGCACAAATACATTAGAAAACTGCTTGCATTACCCTTACTGCCTAGCAACGAGATTTTTACTCAGTTCTAAAGTACAGGCAACCACAGCAACACTTCAGGAACTAATAAAATACATTGAGGACACATGGATCACTAACATTGCGTACCCCATTAGGGATTGGTCTGTTTATTGTCAGCCAATAAGAACAATGAATGACATTGAAAGCTGGCTGAAGCTTCTCAGTGGTGAAACTGGTAGGAGCAGCCAAGTTCCTTTTTACACTCTAGTTCAGTCACTGCATCAAGTGGCCCAACTTTCTGTTCAAAACGTGCAGTTGGTAAGGAACAAAAAGTTGATCAGGATTCAACAGCAAGATTGCCATCACTTGCAGTCACAGATCAGTTAGTATTGGACTGAGTACATATTGGAAAAGAAAAATAACAACAACAAAACTTCTTAAGGTTTGTTCCAAGCTGTAGGGCCATGTCAAACTGATTCCTGACTTTCATATATCATGAGATTTTATTCATTCAGTAATAAGCTTGTATTTATTTTGAACACTGATATTATATACCAGCAGAAGCTTGGAACCTATCAGTAATGTGTAGAACTTTACGTGCGATGATTTTTTGAAAAATTTCCTTTGTCATAATCAAAATGTCTTATTTTTTTGTATTCAGTTTTGTATTTTGTGAAAAAGTAATTTTGGGAAATGTGCATAACAGTTGTGTATTAGAAATATTATCATTAAACACATGCTGGGGCTAGTAGTAATGGTAGATGTGTCAAAATCTTTTACAGCAGTGATGAGTTTCTTTAACTTTTCAAGAAAAAAATTTCACTTAGCATAAACATTTAATATATTACAGTCTAATATTAATTATTGATCATTAATAGTACAGTCGGGGTGAAGAGAATTGTCAATATTTTAATATTTATTATTTCTACAGTGTTGTAAAACATATTGTAAGATGTACTACCCCTGTTAATGTTGTGAGCACTGGTTGTGATGAGTATCATAATTCCAGGTTGTAAGTGTTTCTTCATTGTTGCAAGAAGTATTAGTGTCATATTGTATTGCCTAATTCCCGTATGGCAGCAATGTAATATGGAAAGAAGGGAAATTCTCTTACCTAAGATAGCCACAGATTATCCAAACAAATTACTCCCGTGTTTGGCTCGTTACACTGTGTTGTCTCTACCCTGACACGTGTTACACAACAAGCCTAAATATTTGCTGCAGGGAACATCCAAGAATGTGTCTTTGTTTCTACCTTGCGAGGCCAGCGCACTTGACGAGCGCAAAATACGCAGGTGAAGAATAGCACCCCCGGTTCTCCCTCGTGTGTGCCAGTGTCAAGCTGGTGTCACTCACACGACAGGTTCCCAGGGTTCTACCTCCCCCATGGAGAGAGGAGCTTGGCAACGAGGTTGTCACTTGTGCGCAATCCAGCGCGTGCTACGTAGTGTAGTTTGTTCCTGCATTAGTCATTTTTCTAAAGGGCGGAAATGATTATACTTTTTTTCTTTTCGGAAAGCATATTAGCCTTCTTAGCCTCGCTTTTAAGAGAAGATTTTATTGATTTTAAACATTTTATCGAGGCCAGAAATTGAAAATTAAAGAATAACAGCTGGGCCCGTCTGTTACATTGAAAGCGAGACGTTATCTTTCAACACTGATTTTATCACAGGATAACAGGTTGAAACTAAAAAAATAGTTAAAACAAACATCACGCTACATTTCTCGAGAACAATGAACTCTTCAGCGCCTAGGCATTTGGCATATTAAGGGTTTAAAATTTTCATGTGAGTGTGAAAAAGAAGTCATAACACCTCAACCAGTCTCCGGATAAACATCACGCTACGTTTCTCGAGAACAATGAACTCTTCAGTGCATAGGCATTTAGTACCTTAAGGGTTTAAAATTTTCATGAGGTGTGAAAAACAAGTCATAACACGTCAATCAGTCTCCGGATAAATTTCAAGTTGCAGTCTTGCAGTTCGTCCACTGATCAACAAGATAATCAGTTTGTGCGTCTACCATCATTATATTTCTCGCTCTAACTTGAAGGTGGGTAAATAACATTTTTTTTAAACTATAAACGAAATAAAACAACAACAGACAATATCGATGAAGGTCTAAGAAACTCCAAACTCTGTTATGCGCAATAATTTGTTTCTTCATGCTTCTTGTTCATGCCATGCAAGATCGTAATCCCATTCATTTAGAATATCTTGTAGGAATTTGCAACAGAAAATATTGAGTTTTTGGCAACTTGAAAGAGTTTTGAAATTTCATAAACATGTGAATCAAAATACCGTGAAAGTATCATATCAGACGTGAAATTAAATTAAACTGTTTGCTAGCAAAGAAAACTTTGTGTCAATGAAGCGGAGGTGAGGTTTGGAAAAAATAGGTTTTGACGCTATACCAAGCTTATTGAAGTGAATTTTCTGAAGGACTTTAAGTTCTAAGATCGATTTCTCGGTTTCCGCATTTTAATGAGATACAACATTTGAATCTCGAGAAGGAAATATTTCAGTTTTAATTACAAAGTGCTGGGACTTGGCATTCAAATACATAAATACGTTTATATTAACTCCCAACTTGGGCTTTTCGGTTACAGTGTCTAACTACAACTTTTAAAATACATATAAGTTAAAAAGGAGAAGGAATAATTGGTAAATAAGACATTTTATAACTAGAATCAATTACAAAAGACCTAGGAATATAGTTCAAAAATGAAGTTATACTCAACACAAATGTTCACCGCTTAATAGCTTCTGCGCTAAACGACGCCTGAAGATATTTACACTGTCCGCAGCTTTCAAATCATTAGAGAAACAGTTCCAAAGTTTGCATCCACGACATGTGAATGAACGTGGACGGCAACGAGGGATGTGTAAAAGATTGCATGATCGCATAGTCCTAGTGTGAATATGAGAACGCGGTACAAATATATTGGCCAGATATTTTGGGACTAGATCATTAAGACATCTAAATACCATTACAGCATCGTTATGAAGGAGTCTATCCTTAACAGTAAGCCAGTTAAGGGGATCTTATGCCTTCTAAGAAGTGATCATATTTCCTAAGACCTAACACGATACGCGCAGCAAAATTCTGTACTAATTGTAGTTTCTTTACATTGCCTTCAGAAGTGTTAGGCCATACAGTTGAGCAATAGAAAAGTTTACTAAAAACGAGAGCGTTCATCAACAATATAAGAGACTTTCTGTCCAGAAGGACAAATAAACAAAAGAAAGCAGATTCAAAGCGTACATCTTTATCCTAATATAAAGTAGAGGTCTTCACTTTGTCTCAAGATAGTTTGGTCAACTTAATTTAGACAACTCAAAAAACATGTCTGTTCTAGGTGTAAGATTGAAGAAAGTAATTGTCATTTCTATCAAGACTAACTCAGGGAACTTTGAAGAGCATTGTGTAGGGTTGTCATGTTTATTTCAAAACAGAAGTTGAACGATACTAAGTGTATTGTCCAGATTAAAAGGGAAATTTCCCTTGCTAAGGTGTGTTTAACCCGTAAACATCAAGCCACATTTCTGGAGAACAATTAACTCTTCATTGCAGAGGCATTTTTCATATTAAGGGTTTAAATTTTTCGAGTGGTATAAATAACAAGTCATAACACCTCAACATGTCTCCGGATAAATTTTGAGTTGCAGTCTTGCAGTTCGTCCAATAATCATTGAGGTAATCACTTTGTGTGTCTGCAATCATGATATTTCTCGCTCTTGTTAGACTTGGCACAACACTTGACGTTTGACAGTTATCGCCTTAGGAACAGAGAATGTAAAAGTTTTAAGTCGCTTTTAGCATAAATGAAATTGCAACTTTTGTAGCCCTCAATTTCTTGTTATCATCAAATGCACAATAATTTGTTTCTTGGTGCCTCTTGTTCATGCCATGCAAGCTCGTAATCCCATTCATTTGAAATTTCATAAACATGTAAAAATCGAAACACCGTGAAAGTATCATATCCGACGTGAACGTAAGTCAAACTGTTTGATGGCAAAGAAAACTCTGTATCATTAAAGGGGAGTTGAGGTTGGAAAAAAACCAGGTTTTGACGCTAAACTAAGCTCAGTGAAGTGAATTATTTGAAGGACTTTAAGTTCTAAGACGCACATTCATCTTCTGGCGTCACAGTCTTCGATTTCTCGGTTTCTGCATTTTAATGAGATGCAACATTTGAACCTCGAGAGGGAAATATTTTAGTTATAATTACAAAGTGCTGGGACTTGCATCCAAACAGAAGCAGATTCAAAGCGTACATCTTTATTCTAATATAAAGAAGGAGGTGAAGTTTCACTTTGTCCCAAGTTAATTTAGTTTGCTTAATTTAGACAACTAAAAAAACACGCCTCTTCTAGGTGTAAGATTGAACATTGTAATTGTTATTTCTGTCAAGACTGAGTCAGGGAATTTTGACGAGCATTGTTATGGGTGGCCATGCTGAGTGTATTGTCCAGATTAAAAGGGAAATTTCCCTTGCTAAGGTGTGTTAGATCTGTAAAACAACACGCCTCATTTCTTGAGAACAATTAACTCTTCATTGCAGAGGCATTTTGCATATTAAGGGTTTAAATTTGCCGTGTGGTATGAATAACAAGTCATAACACGTCAACCACTCTCCGGGTAAATTTCGTGTTGCAGTCTTGCAGTTCGTCCAATAATCATTACAATAATCAGTTTGTGCGTCTGCCATCATAGTTATATTTCTCGCTGTTACTTGAATTTTAAGGTAGGTAAATAACAGCTAGTTTTTTTTCAACTATTAACGAAGTAAAACAACAACAGACAACATCGATGAAGGTCTAAGAAACTCTAAAATTTTGTTAGACTTGGCACAACAATCAATTTCTGATCACTGCTGTCACTAACAAGATTTTACGTTTGGCATTTGACGTTTGACAGTCATCATCTTAGGAACAGAGAATGTAAACGTTTTAAGCCGCTTTTAGCATGGATGAAAATGCAACCTTTTTTTGCATTCAGTTTGAATTCCTGTTATCATCAAATACGCAATGATTTGTTTCTTCGTGCTTCTTTTTCATGCCATGCAAGCTCGTAATCCCATTCATCTATGATATCTTGTAGGAAGCTACAACAGAAATTATTATGTCTTTGGCAAGTTGAAAGAGTTTTGATATTTCATAAACATGAAAATCAAAATACCGTGAAAGTATCATATCAGAGGTGAAATTAATTCAAACTGTTTGCTGGGAAAGAAAACTCTGTATCAATAAAGTGGAGTTGGGATTTGAAAAAAACTATGTTTTGACGCTATACCAAGCTTATTGAAGTGAATTATTTGAAGGACTTTAAGTTCTAAAATGCACATTCCTCTTATAGCGTCACAGTCTTTGATTTCTCGGTTTCCGCATTTTGATGATCATGAGTTACAAGATTTGAGCCTCGAAAGGGAAATATTCAAGTTTTTATTACAATTGAAGGGACTTAGCATCCAAACAGAAAATAGATTCAAAGCGTACATCTTTATTCTAATGTAAAGTAGAGATCAGGTTAACTTAATTTAAACTACTCAAAAAAGGACACCTGTTCTAGATGTAAGAATGAAGATTATAATTGTTATTTCTGTCAAGACTAAGTCAGGGAATTTTGAAGAGCATTGTTCAGGGCAGCCATGCTGAGTGTATTGTCCAGATTAAAAAAGAAGCTTTTCTTGCTAAGTTGTGTTTGACCTATAAAATATCACGCCAAATTTCTCGAGAACAATGAACTTAATAAGAATTTAAATTTTCCTTGTAGTAAGAATAACAAGTTATAACACCTCAACCAGTCTGCGCGTAAATCAGATTCCATAACGATTTTTGTATTTTAATCAGCATTCCCTAACAGTTTTGGGCATTCTTATACGTCAAACGTCATGCAAAAGAGAAAAATACACTTTCATTTCCGCTAACCTTCAAGTTGTAAACGCCATCTTTAATGCCAATGGAGACAATGCACAAACATTCTAGAGCAGGAATCATTCATTAAAACTTTTAACCAACAGTCTCATAAGGTGTATCATTATTTTCACCTACTATCGAGGCCTCAAAATCCAAATAATCAGACTACGATATCGAACTGCTCTCACTCGAACCACTGTACGCCATATTTACTTTAATTTCCTAAGTGTACACAATTCGAAGCGTGTGTGGCGGATGACTCACGAAGCCGCATTTAGGACAGTTTTCTGAGCGAAAAAAGGCACAAAGAGGCGTTCGAAGCACCCTGTGTCTATTTCAATATGTTAACTG